ACATTCCTCCTTCTTCATCGTCGTCGTACGATTATTTTCTTCACTATTCTGCACCGTTGAGCCTTTTTCTTCATTTCTGGGTGCCCACCAACCCGTTACGGTTCAAAAACAGGACGGGAGACGCGTTTATAGGGTGGCACATTAGCAAGAGAACATCTCTGGGCGGCAGGAGTGTTTGAAGTAGATTGTGGAGGTTCAGTGTCAATTATATGGCCATTAGTTTATGAAATATTTAATGTTCACTGCCGAGGGGCCTTCGAACACTCATCGATTATTTACTGTAACAGAAAGTTATATCGCGGCAATTTTTAGGCACCCAAGCACTGTGCCAAGAAGCGTCACCTGTACAAAGTTTGCTATCATTTCTGAAGGTTTTTGATCTATTATACTTGTAGAGGTTTATCGCCAGAAACGATTATCCGTTAAAGGAAGTCATTCCAGTAGTTACATCGTTTCCGTTAACTCAGTCAGACTCTGTAAAGCGAGAATCGGAGTAAACACAGGTCAGAGGGATTAGGGTTTGTCTCTTGGCGTGTCTTCGAACGCTGACGAACAGGTCGTCGTCGCGTGATGTGTCGAGACAGTCAGTGTCGGTTTGGACCACCTTGTTAGTCGAATATGTGTGTGTGTGTGGCCCCGCGAATTTCTCTGTTCCATTAGCACAAAGGAACGCGCGCGCGTGAGTCACGCGCTCGCCCCTCTAACCTTGCGTCGGAATTAAAGGACTTTTGGCTGGTTTGCAGGCATACTCGCAATTAAAGGGGCTTAATTGAAAGATACAACCCTCGAACCTAGCAAAGACGGGGGCAAAGAGAGACGGAATTACGGATAATAACGAAATGTCGGTGATAAGTTAGCTAATGCCCACTATTTCCTAATTACGCGGGGATATTATCTGTAATTGGGCGTCGTCGCGGGCACTAAGGAATTAAGCGGTCCCTGGAACACGGAGGTTTCGAAGGAGCCGTCGTAAACAGGGATTCGTCAGCGGTTGTTCTCGTGGCTCGTTAGATTCTCGATTCGTGGCACACCGCCGTATGTGTAGTCGGAAGCTGTCTCTTTATTGTATTCTGATTTGCAATTGGTCGACTGTGACGTCATCGCTCGGTGAACGACCAATGGAAGAACGGGGAGCCTAATTAGATGCCATTTTTCGAATAACCAAATGATTCAAGATATGAAGAAATTATAGGATTCTGTACCGATATATTAATGAACGGCTACTTAAGCCTTGGAAGAACCACGTGGAAACCTGTGCCGGGGTCAATATTGACTCACACCGACATTTTTATATGTAGATACTTCAGATGCCTAATGTTCATAGTCCTCGTCGTACATGTTTACTAAAGTAGATTATTTTTGAAAAACATTTGTATTTCTTTTATCATTTTGTTTATATATTAATAATGTAAATGAAATGTTACTTTGATATTCCTGAAGTGATTTCTTCATTTGTTAGAGTTTACAGTGTATTTCTTGGCATCGGGTTGAAAATGCAAGGACGGGTCAGAAGTAACCCGACATCGAGTAGAGCGTTGATTAGATAATAATTTTAATAAATTTTTCAAAAAGCAGCCTACACGTGGATTTCAATGACCTCCAAATATGTTGTCATTGTACGTATCGGAAGAAACTGTTCAGAATGATGACCTTGACATCATATTCGAAGGTTATTAAAATCCAAGAGGAAACTGCTATTCGACAACTTCCCCATAATTTTAACTCCATCCTTGAGTGTCAACTGGTACTTCTCAGATGTTCAAAATTACTGAACTTTTTTTTTTACATACGCAGAAAAAATCATGTTTTTGTTAACTTTTGACAGAGACAGCTGACCACTAGTGAAAGTTAGTTGGAAACTAACCGATCATTGGTAGCGTTAATAATCCACGAAAATTCTCCGTGTGGAGATCGGTTTGTCGATGAAAGTTTTTTTCCCCCACGTTTATTGCAATGGAATATCGCGGTTTCACTGCTTTCGCGGAAACAATATGCCTAAGCGTCGCCGCTACGCTCGGCGTCGACACGATATTACAAAGCCTGATTTATATTGACCATTCGCGCTCAACCACTGTCGTAATGCTGCACGCACACCGCGCAACCTCCTCACCTCTCTCATCCCCCAACCCCCCGTCACTTACATTCACTGTGAAACCCAGCGGTCTGGATCATTATGACGTAATAAACGTCCCTACCATGCCGTCTGTCACTAGCGTTCCATATAACGTTCACGCCTGCCGCCTTGACTCGAAAATCCAACCCAACGATAGACTTTCACCTTTTGACATTGTACTGTGAAAATGGTACTAATTCGACGGGGACAGTTTTGATTCCAAAATTCTGCCAATTGGACAATTCTGGCTACACGAATCGATTTTTTCATCGTTTTTAATCTAAACGTATGAGTTTTGTGGTAAATTTCGAGTTACATTTAATGTAAAATCGATATAAATATTAGTCAGAATCTTCCCATAAGGTTGTTGTAATAATTACAGCGATGCTTCGCTATAGGCTCGTCACTGATCTCGACAGGAGGCCTTGTAACGAGGTATTGCTTTCGTATACAGTATCGAGTTCTAACAATGGATCTTTTAGAAACTAAAATGATCTATTCCATCTAAATTTCTTAATTTTTATATTTTTCGTCTGTCCATTTCTATATATTTTATGTATTTTAATATTGATCGTTCTTCAATACCACCAATATTAAAAGAACTCACAGTTATAAGTTTCCAACCGTATATCGATTTTTATTAGCAACAGGGGGCGGGCCTAGACCGTATAATTTTATGGAAATTAATCGCTTCGATAACGAGAAATAATAACGAACGCCGTTCCTGTTATCATGGATCTGAAAAATGACCGAAACGGAACTGAACCTTTAATCAACCGTCGTTAAAGTTTTAATATTATTGTGCCTCATACATTCATACGCGTTATAGAATGCATGAAATTCGAATGGGGAAGGTGTAATAATTCTACGGCGAAGCTTTAAAGCACAGTGAATTGAAATTTTAATGTTAAATTCTACTTTTGCAGATGTTCATTTTAATTTGAGTAAATTGCTAACGAACCGTTACGAAATTTCTCATTTAACGTCAATCCCAGCGTATTCAAAGCATGTTAGAAAGTCCGAGAACATAAATAATTATAATTTTCTTACAATTAACGCAATTACGTTCAACCACGTGACACCATTTAATCTTTTAATTTCTGTTAACGAGGCCTCTAATTGTCAAGATGCCATTTTGAAAAGAGCTTGTTTACCATAAATTTTAATACAACTAAAAATAAATTATAAATTGTAATATATTAACGAAACATTTCTAGTTTTATTTACAAAATAGTAAAGCACAAATTTTAACCTCTTCACAAACCGAATTTAATTGTTTACTAAAAATGCCACATCAAGGTAAACGGTACATGAATATTCTGTGCAGAATAAACTTTGTAGTATATCGATACTGTTTATTAGTAATTTATTCCATAAATAACCCAGTCAACTAAAATAACTTTTATTATAATATATAAATAAAACCTTTAAAGATAAACCAAATCTCAATATCAGTAAAGTAATGAAACTAATTATTAACAATTGAATTATTTAAGACTAATAAATATCTTTGACATGGTAGGCCAATATTTTGTTCAGTCTCAGGTAGTGAGGGACCGAGGGTCATTTACGTTTCAGTCTTCGAAGGGGCGACATCGAAAGTGCGCGTCGCTGCTAATTCGCATTTGTGTGTCTATAACGGTTGCTGGGTTTGGTGTGCCTCCGAAATTTACGAAAAGTGTTTTTGCCAGGTCAACAGCTTCATTTTACATAAAAGTAACTAATTTTAACATATATAATTATTTATATATATTTTATGTATTATATACAATTATTTTTTGTAAATTTATTTCAAACGAATCTGCGATAACCACAGATCAGGACTTCGTATATAATGCACAAATGTGTCGAATTAAATTAAAAATAAGATTTTAATAATATTCTTAATGAAAGACATTAATCTTCCTTTTTACTTCGCGTGAAAAATATACAAATTACAGAGTACATACCTTAAAAAATATCCATTTGCATTTCGTTTAATCGAAACAAGTTTTTACTGTAAAACATCATTTCAACTGTAAAATTCAACAAGATTCGTTTCATTTCGTTGTATTGCAGAAAAATGGGACAAAAAATCAGAAAAATTGATTTTTCGAAATGCTACTTTCTTTAGTTGACATTTCAAAAAAAAAGTAAACTTTCCATGAAATGTGAGTATCACCAATCGATTCCTGGGGAAATTCTCTATCAAAAACACACATTTCTGTATTTTCAATAATTTTTTTAAATTCAAATAATTTCATTCGAATACTATTCATTTCTCAAAATTACAGGACAAATGTTGTGATCACAGTATGATGGAACGAAGAGTGCCTACCACGTTTTAAATAATAATGCCCTTTAAATTTACAGTGACCAGAAAACCACACGATCCTTTTTTTTCGGTGCCTAAAGGTACGTATCCACTTGTTGCGTATCGTTGTATCATATCTCCGTTGTGTATCAATGTGGATAGGTAAGCATTGCATCGTTGCTATGAAAATATATCGTATGGTGATACGATACGATGATACACAACAAGTGGATACTCACCTTAATATTGTTTCGTTTTGTCTGTGTTAAATAATAATGCCTTTAAATTTAGAGTGACCAGAAAACCACACGATCTTTTTTTTCGGTGCCTAAAGTTACGTATCCACTTGTTGCGTATCGTTGTATTATATCTTCAGTTGTGTATCAATGTGGATAGGCAAGCATTGCATCAGTGCTATGAAAATGTATCGTATGGTGATACGATACGATGATACACAACAAGTGGATACTCACCTTAATATTGTTTCGTTTTGTGTGTTTGTGTTTGTGTGTATGTAATTAAGGGACGTTAAATATTTGTTTTCGTTGCAGAGAGAGGTTCTATCGGTGATCCGTGTTTATTTCCTTTTTCCAGCTGGGTTTCTTCACATATTACACGGTGGCGATGGGGGAGGTGAATCCTTCGGGCCCGGTACCAATCGATAGTGTCTTCATTTACAGACCGGACAAACGTCTCGAGCTCTGGAGGTTCGCGTTCTACATGTTCCTTCACGCTGGGTGAGTAGCAATTCATCAACGTCCAATGGTGCAATTGTTAACGTTCTTAGTTAATTACGAGCAACGAACGTTTAAATTAATTTTGCAAGTAGATTACGACCACTTGACAAACTTGAACGTGTACATAACTCATAGTCTCAGTTAATCTATAATCTAAAAGGTAATATACATATAATCGAAAAACTGTGGTTTATTTGTGAAATAAAGTTAAGTGGAAAAAGTTAGATAGAAATTTATTATTTCTTATTATGTTGATAATGATACATGAATATCGTTTAATTTTATCAGTCTTTTTTTTACTGCATTTCGAGTGTTAAAATTTGCTATAAATCTGTAACATGCGCAGTTTAAAAAAAAATGTATTATTTAAAAGTAACAGAAATAATGAAAGAAATATTTTATGGTTCTTGAAAGTTAGATGCAATAGAAATTATTATTGTCTCATAATTCGACACAATAGAAATCGAATGAAAAGAAATATTTGTATCTCTTGTTTTATTATATTAAAAATAGAATAACATCGTATTTAAGTTTTCTAGTCATTTTTATTTCATTGCGTTCTGTACGTTTGCAACAGCAATTTTCAAGCGAATTTATAAATATTTTTCGTGTAGAACGATTATTATCCATTTACAGTTGTAATCACCGTGTCTCGATAAAACGGAATTTAACATTTATACCGTGATCTGTGACAGGGTTTTATTTTTAACAGCTTTATAGTTGCACCGTTCATACTCTTTTTTTCAATATTACATCCACGTATTTGTCACAACTGGCGGTGATATGAAATTTCGCAGTGATTACGGAAATACGGGAAAATTGATATTTATGAGGCAATCATAAAAAAGTTTCGAATCAAACACGCGTTCCGAACGATCGAACCATCGATTACTTTTCTTTGACGGTAAACAATTTTCTATATATTGTGATTGTGCCGATTTTTTTGAAAAGTATATTTTATTCAAAATAAATTTATAATTAACGATAAAACGAACAATTAATTGAAGAAGAACTAAATTTTTATAATATATTAAATACATAAGATTTTCTTGGAAAATTTTCATTTGCGGAATTTTTAGAATTTCATCATATTCTTCGATCAAAAATTGAGCCGTCCATACACTAAAACAAAATGACAATATCAAATTAATTGCGTTGGCTATCACTATAACAAAGTTACCAAAGTATCCGATTTACATACAACCAAACAAACTATTAACAACACCACAAGTATTGGCAATCACAATCTTAAAAAAGAAAATAGATGAAAAAATAAAATAATAAAAGAATCGGAAGAAATTAAAAAACTAAAAAAAGAATAAAAAATATTTTTTCCTTTACTATTAAATTATTGTTTTAATAGTAAGTGTAAAATAATCGGAAATTCCAATTAAGCCGTGGACAATAATGAAGCATCCGCCATTTTCCTGAAATGGCGGCTGTGTGGACGCCAGGCAAAGAAACTTCCTCGATTAAAATTCCAGCCGCGTGGCGCAGAAAAAAAAAAAGAGAAACGTACCCACATGTGACAGATTGCACACGATTTCGCCGACCACTTTTCTCGATTGGCCGGCCTAACGGGCACGAATGCACCGCGACGCAGCTCCTCCCGCGTTAATCCTTGACGATAATTTCGCGGTCCGTCGTTCCCTCCCCACCTGTGAACCGCGTTGCAACTTCCACCCTCGAGGTCCGACGCGAATCAAATTCAAGCGTCGTCGTTCCGCGACTCGAACGGAATTACGTAAATGTGCTGGCACGCGTCCTGGTCCCATGCCGGAAAATACGTTTTCTTCTACCCACCATCCACCCCTGCAGCCAGCTATTGTTCGCGTAACGAACCATCTTGCTTGCCCTTGCTTCACCTATTGTGTTCTCGAACATGGAACAAAACGGAAATGTCGAATGATATGGAAATGTATATGGTGTAGGATAGAAAAATGTTCAGATAGTGGAACGTTTAGATAGTGGAAGGTTCGAATATTAGAATGTTCGGATAGTGGAACTTTCGGATAGTAGAACCTTGGTTTAGTGGAACCTTGGGACAGTGGAGCCTTGGGACAGTGGAATCTTGGGACAGTGGAACCTTGGGACAGTGGAACCTTGGGACAGTGAGTCTTAGGGAGAGTGGAACCTAGGGACAGTGGAATGATGGGACAGTGGAACCTTGGGACAGTGGAATCTAGGGACAGTAGAGCCTTGGCACGGTGGAACCTTGAGACACTGGATCCTAGGGATAGTGCAATCTAGGGACCGTGGTGCCTTGGAACAGTGGAACCTTGGTACTGTGAAGCTTTGGCACAGTGGAAACTTGGGAGAGTGGAGCCTTGGGTTAGTGGAGCCTTGGGTTAGTGGAATCTTGGGGCAGTGGAACCTTGGGACAGTGAGTCTTAGGGAGAGTGGAACCTAGGGACAGTGGAATAATGGGACAGTGGAGCCTTGGCACGGTGGAACCTTGAGACACTGGATCCTAGGGATAGTGCAATCTAGGGACCGTGGTGCCTTGGAACAGTGGAACCTTGGTACTGTGAAGCTTTGGCACAGTGGAAACTTGGGAGAGTGGAGCCTTGGGTTAGTGGAATCTTCGGGCAGTGGAACCTTGGGACAGTGGAACCTTGGTACTGTGAAGCTTTGGCACAGTGGAAACTTGGGAGAGTGGAGCCTTGGGTTAGTGGAATCTTCGGGCAGTGGAACCTTGGGACAGTGAGTCTTAGGGAGAGTGGAACCTAGGGACAGTGGAATTTTGGTACAGTGGAATCTTGGTACAGTGGAATCTAGGGACAGTGGAGCCTTGGCACGGTGGAACCTTGAGACACTGGATCCTAGGGACCGTGAAGCTTTGGCACAGCGGAAACTTGGGAGAGTGGAACCTTGGGACAGTGAGTCTTCGGGAGAGTGGAACCTAGGGACAGTGGAATAATGGGACAGTGGAATCTTGGGACAGTGGAATCTAGGGACAGTGGAGCCTTGGAACGGTGGAACCTTGAGACACTGGACCCTAGGGACAGTGCAATCTAGGGACCGTGGAACCTTGGGACAGTGAAGCTTTGGCACAGTGGAAACTTGGGAGAGTGGAGCCTTGGGACAGTGAAATCTTGGGACAGTGGAACCTTGGGACAGTGAATCTTAGGGAGAGTGGAACCTAGGGACAGTGGACGATTCGGATAGTGGAAGTTTAGGATATTAGAAAGTTCGGATAATAGATTACGCCACCATTTTGGTAACACTATGTAAGATAACGCCACTGTTTTGATAACTTTATACAGAATTAGTTCATTATTTCGGTAACTTTGTACAGTAGATTATGTAACAATTCTAGTGATCCCCTATCACGGGTTGCATCGTCATCTTTACGAACCATCAAACGAAAAGGTACAGAGGCAGTCGTCATACGACAATTTTTTGTTTCATCCATTCGTGTCTCATTTCCCGCAAGAATCCCTGATTTTAAAAAGAAAAGAAAAGAGCCCCGGTAGGAACGAACTTTTAACCCTATCTCGTTCAAGAAGCGTCGCCGATCTTCGCGACTTCTCTTCCGAACTTCTTTTTCTTTCTTCATCCTCTTTCTTCTTCGCCACCTTTGGATGAGAGGGAACCATTCCCTCTATCCACGGACGATATAGGAGGTGGGCAGAAAGGCTGGGATACGATAGAACCGTAGGGGAGGCGGCCAGGCAGAGAAGTTTTCAGCAGCGAAGCTCTCTAAATTATTCATGGAAACGCCAGATAAGGCGACCATTTTCCCTACGTGCGTATGGAAACGGTGATAAGAGTGACCCGACGTTTTCCCATAGACCCGTGCGCGCCTTCTTCCACCTTGCCCTCCACTATCCCCGTTTTCCTTTCTTCTTTCCCTTTGTTCCATCCAATTGACCTATCCAAGCCAGCTATCGGTCTTCCCTGAGAGCAGTTTTCTTGTTGCCGAAAGGTATATACTGCAGTATGCCGGTTATTAATGCGAGACGCGTATATCCTCTTGCTCCCTCGATCGATGATTCCGACGATCTCTGTGCCCTCAAAGGGGGGATTCTTGTGTGGCAATTCTAAAAGTAACTGAAACTCATGAATTTAAAAAAAGAAATTATTGTTTTGGTTTGTGGGGAGTAAAAGGAGACGTCTTGCAATTGTAGAGAATATTTTTTTTATGTCGATAGTTTTTTCTCTGTATTAATTAATGTAGAATCTTGTTATCCTGGTTTATAATGTAGCACCTGTCAGTTTCACCTGATTGCAGACTGTATAGAATAATATACAGGGTGCCTCAATGATGTTTTTTTTTCTTCAAAACGTTAGGTTACTGACTAAGGTAAAAAATGATAAACAAATTTTTTTTTAAATAGAAATTATTTTGCAAGAGAAATGCTTGTAATGGCCATTTTACAGCAAGTACCACTTTATTGAATTTGATTTGTCTGGTACACTGTGAAGTAAATATTTTATCAAAAATAAATACATTTTTCATTTTCATAAATGCCATCTTTATTTCAATTGATGGAGTTAAAGTGTATAATAGCAGTTTGCATAAAATCATCTGTAAAATTCAAACGTTACAAGACAGTCGACATTCTAGACCCTAGACTACGAATGTGCAGGCAAATACAGATTTTTACAGATTAATTTGTACTAATTATAACTGGAATTAAACAGAAGTTTATCTAGTTTAGTAAAGATTCTATTAAACGTCGTATAAATAAAAAATCCCATAAAAATCACATCAACCCCCTGCGTTTCTGTGACCGAGTCACCGATGACCCATCGGTAGGCACAGTTACTAAATTTGTTATAAATCAATGAAACGAATATTTCGAGATGTTGCCATAGGTCACGATTGACCCAATCGCTGTCTTCGACGGTTCGAACTCTAAGGGTTAAATACTCTTCACTATACAAGGTGTCCCACAATTGGTGTACGCCCTTAAAATTGATGATTCCTTGAAACAATTGTTTCGTTAGCGAAAAAAAAATGCTAAAAATTTTTAGCTCACTCAATCGAGGAACCA